CATGCATGCATACTTACATGCTTACATGCTTACATGCTTACATACTTACACACTTACATACTTACATACTTACATACTTACATACTTACATACATACATACATACATACATACATACATACATACATAACTGCGTACGAACGTACGTACATACGTACGTCCGTCCGTGCATGCGTGCGTGCGTGCATGCATGCATGCATCCATCCACACATACATACATATGTCAGCATGCGCCACAGATCGAACTTGGAGGTGTAGAACTTTCAGTCCAGATAGCCTTCACATCCTCCGTGACTGCATAAAGAGGTTTGGGGATCGAGCTGTGGTGCAGGGGAAAGCGTCTACTTGCGAGCCGCTGGGGTATCAAGCCCGGCTTCTGAATCGAAAAAAGGGGCCTTATCGTGTAGATTCACGGGACTATGTAAGGGACTACGACTAATAATCCGCCGAGGCTTCGGCACCCAAACTACTCAGGCCCCGATGTCATTCTAGTTGAGAGCTTGAGCTCTTGCTTCTCGGGCGTTGCTTTGGCTTGGTGTGAATTCGGCTTCAGGAGTTCCAAGATAGTTCGTCTTCCGGGCTTGGCAAGACTCCTGGACTGGGGATCTCGGCTTCGAGGCCTTTGGAGGTTTTGGATTTGCGGGTACCTTCAGCCGTTGCCCAACCGCTCCTGCTGCAGCATCACTGGGAGGGGCACCACCTCTTCGCTGATGCGAGGCACTGGCACATCCACTTCCTGGCAGCGGAGACTTGCATGTGTTTGGGATTAGACCCCGAAATCAAAACACATATCAAAGTGGCGTTGTGTTCGATGACTCCAGGATGTGGGCTTAACGCTTGGAGGTTGAATTAAGCTTTAGGTCGCTTCTCTTGCTCCGATGTCAGGCATGATTCGTGCCAGGCTAGTGAAAAGCGCTCAAGTTGGGGAATGAGAGCGCTCGCCACTGCGTCGGGGCTCTTTATCTCTTTCATGGAACCCAAATGCCAACACGTTAATTCGTTAGTAGGAGGCCGTCCCCTCTGCTCCTGCTCCACCATGACTTCCTTCCGGCGTGTTTTCGTGATGACCTGCAGCGTGTCGGCTTCAGGCTTGCTCGAACTGAAGGAAGATTCTCCTCAACTGCGTGACGAAGCTGTTTCGGTTGAGATAAGGCCGTTTGCGCACAGCTGCCGTCCCTGGGCAAGTATATACATCTTTGCTGAATCTAGCGAGGGCCGACGGGTTCTGTCAAGCATAGTTTAGTTGGTGATGCAAAGTTTTCCTACAACAGACCGCCAACTCCAATCATCAAAGACTCCTCGCAAACCCAGAAAACGAAACCCTAAACCCTAAAAATCTAGAACCGAGAACCCAGCACCCCCAAACTTCAAACCTGGAGCCCCAAGCAGAAGCACCAAAAAGGCCAAGACGAAGGCGAAAAGTCCCAGAAAGCAGCCCCGCCTTCGGAACCATCACGGTTTCCTCCTCCACCACATTCACCGGCACCTCCGAGAGCTTTCGAGATAGCTTGGAGCCTTACAGGGCCTTTGGAGGCCTAGGTTCGAATTTAGTCCGCAAGTCTGAAGCTCAGTGCCAAACCTCTTCGAACTTCTGCCTCACTTAGAGAGAACACTGGCTAGTTCAGTCAATGGCTGTTTCGAGATCTTTGTGCCCTACGGCCAAGGGCAACTTCGGTGGGTCCAGATCGGGAGTGCTGATCGATTTAGGAAGCAACTGCATTTAACTTTGTAAGCGCGGGGCCTCAAGGACTTTCTCGGCCTTTGGCGGGGGGGCGAGGGGTGGAAACTACACCAGCCCTGCATGGGAGCCGCATGCCAATGAGCAGCAGGGAACTCCAGTTTCGCAGTGCCCATCGAGTAGAGACGGTGTGCGGTGCCTCCTGTGAGATCGGCTTCGGCTTGTGGACCGTCCTGCAGGAAGCAGCCAGACACTGGAGCCAGTCCTCCGGATTATGCTGCCACTGCTACTGCGGCATTCCCAATGGCCGCAGCGATGGCAGCGGCGATGCAAGGCAGTGGCAGTGGCAGCAAAGCGAGGATGAGCAGAATGATGGGGATCGTTCTTATTGTCACTGCCTTAAATAATGAATACTGAATACTGCAGGACGGTAGGTGCAATAAACAGTACAATCGTCATCCAGCAAGTGAAACACATAAATTGATCCTAAAGCGACTGAAGTGAAAAACAATCGCATGGCGCAGTTGACTCAGGGGGTGAACGAGCGTTCTTGTGTCGAACAATGCAACAAAAAGTCAGCCCCGCCCAAAAACCGATGGCATTCCACAAACATGGACTCCTGAGCACTCCACCCTCGAACCGTAGACTTCCAACGCGGGCAAGCCCATGTCCTCTCTTTCACGATCTGCTTTGGCACATGCACAACCTTCCATCAAAGCAATCGAGGTCTTCGTTACCGGACGGCAAGTTGGGACTGTGCAACTACGGTATTGCTATCTCAGCCAGCATTTACAAGTGCTGGGCAAGCAGCCACCCCCACGTCTAGTAACCAAACGATAACCATGATATGGGCGTTGCACGCGGCGGCGGAGGTGGTGCTGATGGTAGTGGCGGCGGTGGCGGTAGCTGTGGCGGTGGCGGTGGTGGTGGTGAGGGTGATGGTGGCAAAGGTGGAGGTGGTGGTGGCAAGGAAGGTGGTGGTAAAGGTGCCGCTGGTGCGACTGGTGCTGCCGGTGCTACCGGTGGGCGGGTGCTGCCGTTAGCGCCGTTGGTGCCGGTGCCCGTGGTGCTGGTGATGCTGGTGGTGCTGGTGGTGCTGGTGGTGCTAGAGTGCCTCCAGGTGCCGGTGCCGTTGGTGCCGGTGGTGCTCAAGTTTGTGGGGGTGACAACCACCCCCCCCTTCCTTTTCCTGAGGCCAAAGACTACCATGCAACGCCACCACCAGCCCCCCTTCCCAGAAAATGCCCGACCACCACCACAACCACCACCCACCCCCGACAAAAGCCCCAGACCCGACCCCCCATCATAATCAGAATCAGAATAAAGCCATAAATAATGATGCTGCTACTTTTACTGATAATAGCAATCATTCAATAAATGAATTAATTATGGTAACCCCTCCCGGGCTGAGGCAGCAGACACCTCGTTGCAGAGGGGCAAATCCAGACTTCGACCCTAGATCAGTTGAAGTGCACATGTAGAGAAAAATTCGGTAAAGGCTTGGGGATTGATGTTAACACGGCAATCCTAAGCCCCGAGCCTCAAGTTCGGATGAAAGGCCTGAAACGACCGGAACCCCGAGCTAGCCCTAAACTCGACACTCCGAAGACACGCATCAAAACCCGATGCTTGACAAACCCAAACCCCGCAAGCCCTGGGAAACTCCCATCCAAGGCCTCCTCTTTGACCTGCATCACCGGAACGTCCACCAACCTCGGCCGAGCAATATCTGAGCAGTGTCGCGGCCCTTGAAGCTCCGGAGAAGGTGGGTTTAGGGCAATGGTTACCATAGGGGTTACTACAGAATCCTTGTGGTTCCTGGGGCTTGAGCAGACACTGCACAGCACTGCTGTCACCACCACTTTCACCAGGTCATTGCAATCGACATGTGGAAAGCTGACGCTGTTGGACAGGAGGTTTGAGTTATGCGGGTACAGGGATTCCTTAATTCCGGGTAGCCAAACTGATAAGACTTGGGCCGTCCAAAACGAGACCCCAGACTTTAAAGCCTCAACAGCGGAGGCCTGGGAATGTCTTGGGAACACACATCCTAAAAATACTGTTTCAAGATTCGAGACAAGCCCGGGGCAAAAATCCTGCCGGGCCACTTCTCCACTCCAACATGACACTGACGCTCGGCATAGAAGAGCTTGGGCACCACCACGATCTGGAGGCTTGAGACGTTGAGTCTTTGGGGCATGGAAAGTTTGGCGTGCCTGAAACAACATCACTGCGCTGCAACGGCATCAGAGTGGATGCCGAGCCGAGAGGGTTGAAGTGGGTTGTGGAGCTGGGGTGCGAGGCCTTCCCGATACGATGTTCAGCATGCGGCGCAGATAAGGAGAAGGCCCCAATGCGCATTCGGGCTTGGGATCTATCGCTGAGCGCATTCTTGCGACCTTTGGGATAAAGTGCTGGTTTGGATCTTTGGAGCTCGACCGCTGGGTGCAGAGCCCGGCGTATCAAACACAGATTTTGCTGACTGCTGCTAGCAGAACCCTGAACCTTTCAGGATGTCAAGTGTCTGCACGCCTCCTCCTGGACCGTAGGGACCACAATCTCTAGCCTCTGCTCCACGTTGCGCGTCACGACGCGTTCCTTCCGACTCGAGCTCGGAGCTGAACCACAGCTTGCTGCTTGAGGGCTTCAGTGTCACATGGCTTCCCAGCAGTCCTGCTTCACCGGCTTTTTCACCTGCAAGCGACAAAACTCAAAATGGACTTTGCAAAAAGTCGAGATCATGAGCGGCAACACCTGTGTTCGAGCTGCGCTCAAGATGATGTGCATGCAGTGCAGTGCCTGCTTCGTACCAGAAGCCCACCAAACAGCCCAACCTGTAACACCGAGTAAGCCCCCTCCTGCGTGAGGCTGACAAATCTGGGGCTGACCCTAGACGCATGTAGTGTCCAGAATCTCTGCCCACACCCCTGGCCTCCACGATCTGGTCGAAGTGCTCCGGGACTGGGATATCGACGAACTCGACCACCTCGCAGGCCGCAGAAGATGATCGAAAAAGATCCTCACGAAAACATGAAAAGCTCTGCCCATGAGAACCAATCAAACAGCCAGGCAACGGATTAAACCTCTCCCGGTTTTGATGTCAGCTCAATCAAGCAAACGGCGACTGCAGCAAGGGGCAGGATGAGGATAAGCAAGATGATAATGATCTTGATCTTATTGTGCCGAAGATGACTCAAATATTCATGATTCAGATAAGGAGGAGGAAGAGGAGACTGACCGGGCGAAGGGCCAGAAGGAGGAGGAGGAGAATCTTGACGAGCTCTAGCCGGCTTCAGACATGCGAAGAACTAAGCTTATCTTGAGCAATATAACATCATCATCGTCCGCTTGCCGTAGCACCAGCACTGCCATCACCCTCGTCGCTAGTGGTGCCAAACTGCCAATGTTACCCGGCGAAAGCCACGTGATTGGTGGTATGGTTGCTGATGGTGGGGCGTATCAGCTCGCTGACTACACTTGGCGTGATCAACACCATCATCAGCATAATGATCATAGAATCCGTGCAGCTATCATACTTGCCTACTTTCTCTCCTGTCCTCAACATCTGCACAAACTTAGGTCAGCACCATCACCAGCATCGCCATTCCATCTGCAGCACCATCATCACCGCCTCCCTCACCAATAGAATTCGTGTTGACCACCTCATCATGACCGTCAGTTCACAGACGTCGCAACGTTCAACAACCTTTTGATGATCACCATTAGCACCAGCATCAATGATCGTCTTATTCCTCACCATCGTCATCTTCATCATCATCAGCATCATCATCATCCACATTCACATCAACATCAGCATTATCCTGACGACTGAAGCCTCCACCACCTCCCCTGCCACTGCAACCACCGTCACAAACCCCACCAAAACCACCAGCAGCATCACTACCGCCATGCCGGTTCCGACCTCAGAGAGCTGTTGTCGCTTCTGTTGGACCACTTTGGGCACCTGCACGACCTGCATCACAGCGGCTTGGCGGCTTTGGGTTGCGGACTGGCGGCTTTACTCCAGTCTCCGTGCAAAGCCTCACGAATAGAGAGCGGCATCAAACTTCGTGCTGTGTGGGACTCCCGTCAAAGGATCTGGCAGCTGATGTGGAAAGAGGTGTAACATTGGGGGCTTTGTATCCGCTCCATGAGACGAAACCTACTCTTGGAGGCAGAACTTAACCAGGCTGCAGCTACACTTCAATTTCGGATAAGGGCTTAGGGTTGTGGCTCGATTCTTCGTTTCAGGCCCTGCATCCTGAAAGCCTACCCCGCCCACTGCTCGAAGCCCTCCCAAACACCTGTTGATCTCGACACGACCCTAAACTCCTGGGTCGAGTGGATGCTCAAGCATACGTGCCTGACACCTCTAGACCCTGACCGGCCCTAGGCTGCGTTCACAACCATGAGAGCCCGAACTCTTCGTCGGGCCCTGTAAGACAGCCCTAAAGGTTTAGGATCCAGCCGCAAGATACAAAATCTGCGACACGAACGAGGCGTTAGCCACAACCCGTTCGAGAAAGGCTCCGAAGACTGGAGGAGTTCCCACGTGCCGTTAGTGCAGTCTCCAGAAACCTACAGGTTGACCTGACATCCCGGGAGAACATAAACCTGTGGAAAGCATGGAAAACCTCATCAGCTATTTGCAGGATAGGAATGCTCAGGCTACTTCTGCATTGTTAGAACCCATTTCGGAGTTGCAGCTGCAGCGTTCAAGGCTTTTCGGCTTAGGGTTTAGGGTTCGGTCTTGTGGCCTGCCTCACTTCCAAGTACCCTTTTTCTTTGCGAAACCAGCCAAAGGCAGCGACGGTTTAAACTTCTCGCCAGCCATGATGGTTCCAGCTGGAAGACACAAGCTGGAGGGGTGCCCTGGATCTGAGCGGATGCATCAATCTCCAGCGTTATCGCTCAAAGAGAAGCGACGACGTAGTGCTGGCCAGAAGCACTGCCAGCGCATTTACCAGGACAGATGCCCGTGCACTCCTCTTCATGAAGTCATACCGTTCTGTTCCTGCTCACTTGCACTATATGTTGCACCAGGCTACCACCTTAAATCATCAATGTCACCATTTTGTAGTCCAACTTCGCGAGCATCATCGCCATTATCGTCATTATCATCATCGTCGTCATCACCATCATCATCACCATCAACATCAACATCAACATCATCATCAACAACAACAACAAACAACATCGTCATCGACGTCAAGATCATCATCATCATCACCACCATCTTCTTCATCATCATCATCATCATCATAAAGTTATTCTTCTTCGTCGGCCCTTTTGACTACAACAACAACAACAACAACAACAACAACAACCACCACCACCACCACCACCACAACCACCACCGCCGCCACCATCGCCACCACCACCACCACCACCACCACCACCACCTACTACTACTACTACTACTACTACTACTACTACTAACCACCCCCCCCCCCTCTACCAACCACCTGGCGCCTAAACCCGACATCATCATCGTTGGTATTTGGACTACAACATCACG